CAATTGATCAACGAGTCGAAGCAATTTTTAGCGACAACCGAGCAGTTTCGAAGAGTTGTTGTGGTTGGCTTACTTACTTCCCAATTGACGTGCTTACGAACAGAGTAGCCATTTTTTTTGCATAAAAACCGTTCCTTGTTCGTTCTCAACACGTATTTTATGAAGAATTTGCCGATCAAATCGAAGATTGCGGAGAAAAGAATGTAGGAGGCGAGCTTTGGTCATAATAATCCCTCATTTGTCGTTATTATACTTTTTCGTAAATGTGGGTATGTAACGGAAGCTGGTTAATATAGTTTAATTACGGTTTAATTAAGCTACGATCATGAAATTATTAAAAATGGCCAGAGGGCACCTTACCTAATTAACGGTTTTCAACAAAAAATTTGCGGGAGAAGCACTAAATTTTTCCCAGAGGTTTATGTTAACTTCGTCTACTAAATTGAAATATGCTGGGTTTAACGCATATATCATATGGTTTAACATGTATATTAACATATATAATAAAAGTAGTATGTATAATACACAATAGAATTTTAGGTATAGTTTGATATACACAAAATAAGCGAAGTAATCATGAAATTTGGAGTAATATAACCTCACATTTCGGGAAAATGAAGGGAACTTTTAATTAAGATTGTGGAACATGTTTTTTTGTTGAAAACGGTTAATTAAGGGTGCCCTGTAATTAGCCATTTTTATTAATTTCATGATCGTACCTGGAGGATTTATTAGCGTCACGTAACCTTTCATTTTTTAATTTTTTTTGAAGACTTCAAATTAAATCTTGCTATAGAAATGTGTATGAAAAATTAGAGTTAATTCAGATTTGTGCGAAGTTCGGCGTAATTAAGTTCTAAATATGTTGTAATATAGATGAGTTATTGAAGTCTTGATGTCAGTATTTCCTGATGTGGGTTCATATAAATAACACTATTTAATAATTTATTTTTGGGGAAATGTTATTGATTATTGAGAAATTAGAAATGAAAATTATTACAGCCAGTGCCGGCGTATGATTTTATTTTATGAAAGGGGTTTCGACTTCTAGGATTTTTTAGGAGCTTGAAATAGGTTCTAAATTAACCAGTGGCAGTGTGGGATTTTTAATAATAGGCGTTTAGGAATTTTTAGATTTTCTGGAAGGTAGTATTGACAGTTTGTGATCTTTGAAAGATACAGCGATACCAATCAAAGCCAAAGGAAAACGTGCGACCAATGGCAATAAAAATTTAGAGGTCCACACCACGAGAATTACCAATAGTATGGATGACCAAGACAACACAACATTAGAGATGCAAGAAAGATATTTTCAAGAACGGTTAGAGACTGTGCTGAGTGAATTAGAAGAGGGAATAAAAAAAAATTAAAGAAGGATTGACCAACATGATACGGATATTGGAAACCTCAAAGCAAAAATTGAAGAAAATTGACCCTTGGGAGAAAGAACTGATACCATAATAGTGTACAAGGCTGAACGTTATAACCAAGCGATTAATTTTATGAAAATTTAGAAGGCTATTTGAAGAATTGCGAATCAGAACCTTACTGGCCGTACCATGGAGTTCATCGAAGGTACCAGGTCTTGGACGGTTCTATATGGTCGAACATGGACCGATTTTCAAGAATTAAAAGAAGATTTTTGTGGCAATACTGATCAGCATTGATCCAAGATAAAATAAAATTCTTGTACTGTAAATTGTGCAGTGTGCACGTAAGAGAACGTTCGATATACTTGCCTTACATAATATCACATTCTAGTGTGCCTCTTTGTAATTTAGCTAGCATTTTTTACCATTTTTGAGGAATGAGGCACTTTTTGCTAATTTTTATGGCATTTTTGTGTGTGTTTTACTTTGAATTTTTTGCAGTTTTTTGATATTTGACGGCATTTTTCTTGGCGAGCTTATAAACCTCTGTTAAAGATTTATTTTTCATGCAAGCTTAGATTTCTAGAGCACAATATGCAGTGTTTTTCCTTTCTCGTTAAAACCTCTATTATAATCTAAATGCATAGTTAGTGTTTTCTTGGAACGTGCATAAATAATTCACAAACGAATGACAATTAAGGGATTAAATTTCTTTGGGAAAGGGTGAGTGAATCAGTAACCTACACACCGCTTTCTACGACTGGCCTGCAGAGGGTGAAAATAAACCAAGAATAAAGTTACTGCCTTATTTTACCTAATTGATTCTTCAAATAATTTTGCGGTATGAATGAAATTTATGCCATCTTTTTAAATTTTTATGTCATTTTTGGGAGATTTTTCAGTCAGAATTGCATTTTTTTTCGCTGATTTTTAACATCATTAAAATTCTAGCATCCAATGATATACGAATTAGTTAATTTTCAGTTGTATATTTCTTCTTATTTTATTAAAAATTCGTCAGTAAATCCAGTTCGCAAAACCATGTTAAGCCATGACTAGTAAGATAAAAGCAGATTCAAACGTCATTAATTTAAATTTTTTCCTTAAAATGTATTTCACTGAGGAAAAGTACGTATCATAAAAAACTTTTACAGCGGAAGCAGTTACGTACATGAAATATTTGTTTTCCACGCAGTTATAGAGCGCCCCCCCCCCCTTTCGTCTATGTTAAAGGTTTTTTCAATTCTTTAGAAAATTGCAATTGAGTCATGGCCAAACATGATTTTGCCAATTGGATCTATTGCCGAATTTTTGGTAAGATAAAAAGAATAACAACTGAAAATTAATATTCGTATATCATTAAAAAAATCTTCTATCGATTGTTGTTAACTCTGTAAGTTAAGATTGGGGGGGGGGGCAACAATTTGAAAAAAATGTTCTTCCCATGTTAATTCCCTATGTTCGATTTTGAAATATTCACCCGTATAAAGCGCATATACGACCCAAACTCGATTACGGGGCAATTATCTACGGTTCTGCTAAGCCATTAAGTCTCAAAAGTCTTGATACGATCCAGAATATTGCACTTCGCCTAGGTACTTTCCGAACAAGCCCTTTTGCGATCTCTTCCACGAACTAAGCAATAAGTACAGGCCACATTCTGAATACTACACTGACGAATCAATCATATGGACAACCAACTCCATTACATCTAAGACAGAAATTATAGAATCGGCAGGTCATGAATTAAACAAAGTCATATTTATTAAGAGATCACACAAATAATAAACAAAGCCATAACTGTGGTCGCTAATGACCTTGTTGTTAAAAAAATAACAAAAAAACCTTCAAGTAGCATAGTTGATTGATCCAATTGAGTTCAATAGCTGTGACACAGTTTTAGGTAGTATATACCTATTGTAATGGTACCAGTAGGTATATTTATAGGTTTGTAGATAGGTTTATATCACTTCCAAGAAACACTCGTAACACTTTCGTAATTATGAACCGATTTCGACCAAACTTTAAGGGTTGGTGTAACTCAAAAATATCTCGCTTAAGTTCGTGAATCAGCCAACTCATTCATATTGAAATTCTCGAATTAACGTATTGAGTTGTTGTTCGGTTTTTGTATGCATTTAGTTATTCTTGATGATTAGAATTGATAATACTTAGGAAGTTTTCAAATTGTATATCATTAATAATTAATACCTGTATATTCGATACTGATTATTTGTGCTTGCGAAGTTTGTTTTGATTTGATTGATTGATAAATCAATGGTGTCGTGTTGATTTATGTCGATTGTGATAGGCGGGTAAGTAATACTTGCGAACATTAATTTCAGTTTCCAATTCTTGCACAGTTTGCATCACTAAATGTCTTTTTATCCCCATCACATATTTCACAGTACACAGAATTATTATCTGTGTGACTTGATCAAGATCAAGGTCTTATTCTGTGGACCTGAGTTCTAAAAGTTATAACAGGGGTACCTACACAAGGAAAATGCAATTTTGCGGATACTATCTCTAAAGGATTATTGATTCTCTTGTATTATATAGAGTAAATTTAATCATCTACCAATACCTACATTTTTCATCCTACCTTACAACGCAATGCTAATCTTTAATCTGCAGTCATGGAGAAGACTAACAGAATTATCATTAATTTTCCAAATATTTATTTCCTTAAGTCACTTATTTTGTACTCGTTTTTCAATTGATTGCGAAAATGCCAAGAAAAATCTATATTCGATACTGTCGACTTCTCCATTTTAATTAAATAAAGCCTCCTCATGGATTTGAAATATAAAATTTCCTAATTGGAAAATGACTTGAACTTTCATTTGGATTACATACTCCAGAAGATTATCGTATCATTAGACAGTCGATCGTATTAGCGACGATTTGCCCTTTTTTTCGTGAGGGCAAGCAGGTATAAAATAAAGAAGTTTGTAAAGAGGGAAGAATGCAAAACTGACGTACCTAGTAGTTTCCTAACCATCTTTTAAAACAAAAATTACGCAATATCTACGAGTAATTGTGAGTAAGAATTAATAATCTTGTCTTAGCGGTGCTGCAAGTGCTAATTACAGAAATATTTTGCATATAAGTAATTGCTTCTATTCGCTATTCTTTAAATAAATCGGTTTTCCATGTTATCTTTACACAATTAGCTCTCAGTAAAGGAAATTTGTCGCGGAAAGATTATGCGCATGTAAATGAAAATCCCATTTAATCTCTGTATACCTAAATTTGAAAAAGGAGCTCGTAAACTGAAACATGCCCGTAATGAGTTTTTCCTCTGACTATAGATAACACAAACAACCCATCAGCTCTAAACTAACAAGAAACAAATATTTTCCTTTCGTACACTCTACTCCTCTTACAGACTTAACTACCAAACTGAATTTTCCGGATCCACTTAATCCGATAACGCTATTTACTTAACTTCTTCGGCTGCTTTTTTTAATCGGGGACAACGTAAGTGCAACCACGGCGGAAGGGTATGAAGCTCTTAAGTACATTTTAATTAAGTTACCGAACGTAGAGCTAAACTTTCTTCATCGCAATTGCCATTGAGAAGTATGTTGAAAAGTTTATAAGAGTAATAAGAGGATGAAAAATTACCGTCCGTTCCATTACGACCGTCTTTCCCGCGATCGCCCGGCCTTCCGTTAATTCCGGGCATACCGTCGTGGCCGTTCCTTCCGGGTTTGCCGTCAAATCCTGGCTCTCCGGGGACACCGTCTCTTCCATCGAAGCCTGGCCTACCCATACTTCCCTTTTCGCCTGTATCGCCGGGATAACCTGCAAAATAATAACACTTTTTAGATTCTCGACATTTCCTATTTGTTTTAATATTTCCTTCTGAAACTTTGGTCAGAAATTGTTTGAAGAATTAAGCACATCAGTCTATGTTTTCACAGCGTTCAGTAGTTTCTGTGCGAAAAGGACATTACGAATATTTTACCACCCTTAGAATTGAGTTGCATTACGGTTGATGTCATTCCGTCTTATTTTCTAGATTGAAGCTCCTTTCGAAATTTGAATTTGAGTTTTTCTCAAGCCGTCACACAGTGGGTCTGATGTCGATTGATTTACGAAAACAAATATTCGCTTCAACAGAAATATTTCATTTCCCAGGTCAGTGGAACTAGCAAAAGTTGGTCCTTTTCGCAGACTACACACTTCCCTATTCAAATAATGGCTAGATCACCAGTAATTTAAAGTTTCTCCAAAGGGTGTAGTGCAATCACTAATTAAATATTAACTTAAAACTACAATAAGCGGTTTTATCATCAAAACAATATTTTTGTGTCCCCGTGTTTCAAAGCTTTGTTTTCCGTATAGTAGCCAGATGCGTTTAGCAACTTATTATTTGTATTATTATTTGTAGCCTAGGCCGGCAAAAATATCATTAAAAATTGGTTGTGGGTTATAGAGTTATAGTTTGTGATCGTACACAACGGTACGTACATCAGACGTACATATTTGTCCCATGGACGTAGGTACGTAAAATGGTTTTGTTTTCATTAATATATTTAATCAACTAAAGTCATATGTGTATTTATTAGAGTTCAACCAAACCAGAGCATTAGATTTTGAATTTCAGTTTTTGAGGGGAGATGTATAAAAACATTCTTATTACTGAGCTAGCCGTGGGTAAATTAAAATTAATTAATTCAAGTGAGGTCTTCAAACCCTTGTAAATGTAACTAAGCTTAAGTTGCACACTAGTTGATTTACCACAATGGCAGTTGCATTTGCTATTATTCCATTCATCATTGCTTTAAGTTTAAATTTGCCTTTTTACTGTTTCTTCCTTATTCACCTGTAGTCGATGTTCAAAACTTCTCTGAATACTAATCTCCTCATTTATTAATTCCCCTTCCTTTGTAACATCTAACAATTGACTTTCTGTGCTGAAAGTTCGTAGCCATATTCAATTGACCGGACTTAAGGTCATTTTTAACTAGTCATTATCTAATCAATGCGTTTTTGTTTCTTTTAATTGCATCTAACCGTCAATCGCGCTGGGGAGTTTCAATGAGGGCTCAGCTTATAGCCTTTTTATTAGGGATATAATCAATATTAGTGAGCTTAGCATGATATAAGTTTGGAGCGTGTAGGTTTTGGAAATAGATAGGATTGATTAACGACAATTTAAAATCATTTTGTATTGGTTGAAAAAAGGGTAGTAACCAATAAAAAATTCGACATTGCCATTTTGAAAGTTAATCCATCATTGTGGGCGGTCAAAATTACGAAGGAACTAGGTGGCTAATCCCCTGTAAGTATGGATGTAAAAAATGAACTAATTAAGCTCTGAGCATCGCAGAATTTAACGATTTGGTTGTTTTGTACATTATATGCTTGCATATTTACCACACAATTGAACTTGGACTGGATATAAGAATTATAGAAACACAAAATACACCATAATCCGCTTATAAAAAATGAAAATAGCCGACTGACGATTCACATTTTAGTGTCATAGAGAGTAATTCAGAAATTCAATAAATTTGTCACATTTATGAGTTTATTAATTACCAACTTATCTTATATAATCTGTACCAAGAAATGTTAGGTGTGTATCTACTTATGTATATTCCCAATTTTTCCCACTATTCTATTAAAGCAATTTAACCAGATCCTAGACCTGTAGTATCTTTCACTCTCTGGAGCTCCTGTTTTACTTAAAAATTAAATTTAAAAATAAACTTCTACTACTCCTCGTTGATTTGAATACCAATGGAAACGGATAATTGGCTTAAACTCGGACCTCGATGACCTCGCTTTCGGAATTGAATTTTTTGGGTTCATACAATCAGCAAGCAAGCAGAACGCCTCTAAGTATCTTGATATCAGTACTTCTCTTAAACCTTCTATCAGTTTCGCCGTATCTCTTTCTGGTTTCCAGCATTTTTAATCAAACGTGCGCAATCGTAATTTCCTTAAGGAAACACTAGAAGAGGTGCTGTACAATTAACCCGCCATTGTTATACTCAAAATTAATATTTTCTCGCAGTTTTAACAGGGTTCTTAGAAGATGAATACATCAAAAGCATACTTGTCAAGATGGATTTGGTATAATTACATTATACAATTTTTAGCCATTCTTGTGTTACGTAATGACGATAAATCTCCAGGATTTACACGCTTTACAGCAGTATACAATGTACATCGTTCAAAATTTAAACTAATTACTAAGAGAAAGAAAACATGTACGCTGTTAAAACAACAACCAAATACGTTGTATACGCATTTCTCTCGCAGATTAGGCAAGTATAAAGATCCCGACGTTTGATAACACAAACTTTATTTTCACTGTAAGCGGGGAGCATATTAAACTTATACCGCTCCAAGCGGCCCAATTGCTCTAACCCCCCAACATAACTCCCTCATAATCGTTATAGAAAACTGTATTCAATAATCAACTTGCGTCTATTATACCTCTAGGCCCTATAGGTCCAGGTATCCCCGGAAATCCAGTATCACCACGGTCTCCTTTAACACCCGGATTTCCACGAGGGCCGCTAGGTCCAGGTGGTCCCGCCGGACAGTACTCCTTCGTAGCCGAACAGAAGCCTTGAATGGCGGCCATCTGGAAACAAAGCATTTATTGAAATATTGGAAGGGAACGATAGTTAATTTGCATAAAGCACACATTATCATTTCTGGAGTTTATATTTGCTTTCCAAATGTAAATGAAAGCTCCGCAGATGTTTGAAATGTGAGGCAAATGAAATTATTGTTCAATAATTCTGCAGCTGACTCGAAAATATCGGTAGCAAGCTTGACATGTATGCAACAGGTGAAAAAATTCAATTTTCGGCTCGAAAACATAACGGCTCTATTTATCTATTGATCATATGTATCGCGCGGATTAAAATCTGTAAAGAAAACCTTAAAGCTAGAAGGAATAGCTCGCACAGGAATTTGATTCTCTTTCGAAACACACTTTAACATTAAAGATTCAAAACCAATATTGCCAACAAAATGTGGAAGTTATTAAGCTTATCACTTGTGTTCGGAACCGAAGTTAATTAAAATTTTAATAGAAGCTCTAGTGGTATGCGTCCGAGTTCTCCATTATATCCGTTTTATTCCATTTGTTTCGGAAGGCACGCTTTTATTGCCCCGGCATTTTGGCAAAATGTCCTAGTATACGATCTTTCAGAGGCAAAAGACACTTATTGCGTAAATGCAATTATTTCGATCTCTATATTGTTAGATATTATAATCCTTGAATAAGTGAACAGATTAGTCAACAATTAATTAATTACATTGAACTTACATTTTAATACATATAACTTTTAGGGTTTTTTATTTAACACTAAGAAATCTAAAAGAGATATAAAGTAAAGATGTAAATATAATAAGATAATCAATATTGCTTTAACGTCTATATTCGGGATGAGTTAAATGAAGCGGGTCATTTTAATTAATGAAAACGAGGAGAGAGTCATATTTGAGTATGACATCTATAATACGTAAATACTGGGAAAGCAGCATTTGTAACACGATCTCACGCAGTGCAAAATCGGTACATTAGGTGGACCCTGAAGAAATAAATTAAACCAAAAGCGAGTCACATCAAGTTACCCTCGCGTTGAGGACAAGGATTTTCGCAGATTTTCCTAAGAAGAAAGTACGAAGGTTGTAAATTTCCACGACGGAACATCATCGACAATTCTGTGGCCGGTCCGTGCAGTAAATACAGCTGGGGAGCCAATTTCAGTTCCTCTTGAATTCGGCGAAAAGGGTAGTCGGTCAGTCAACTACTGACGCGTTTCTTCTCTTACAAAAAAATTAGGCGCATTACTGTGGAATTCCTACTTTCTTAGTTAAATAACCGGAAAACATAAGTAATCTACCAACCACTAGCTCTACTGACGTATTCCGAATTCGGAGACAGGTAGTACGGGTAATCACAGGACTAAAATGTCGCGATGACTGCAAAAATCCGTTTATCGGCTTGAAGATACTTTCTCTTCTACCAATATGTATCATTGAATGCGTTGTGTTTGTGTCATGTAGTAAATATGGTTTGTGTGTAAAAACGTAACGCCACTCAACTTTATTACATAACAGAGGTTATAGTATCATAACTTTAAGCTATTGGACCGGCGCTCTTCGAAATGGCTATTGGTATATTATTTACAAAATAATACATAAAACAGGGGATTATGGGTTCCGAATTGAAGTCAAGGTAGTCTCCAACGCAAACCTTCCATGTTCCGCCGTATTTTTCCTCAAACTTTGACTCGATATGGAACTCGACTAACATGAATCTTAAGCCTACTTTTTCAGTCCCATAAATTTGCAGACCTTCTATAACCCAAAGGATGGCATCCGACTTCATATCCTCTTCCATACTGCATAGTCTCACTCTAACGACCGACATACCGAAAGCTTGATGGTAGGAACACGAACACCAAAAGGAAGCCAGGAACGAATCATATGCTGCGTATGAACGTCAAAGGGCAATAAGACAACATTGTATTCTCCCCTTCTAGATTAACAAAAATTAACTCTTCGGGCAAAACTCACACCCAGTACTGAACAATGTCATCTTTCTTATACTGATCAATTCATGAAGATGCGCTAATAAGAATTAATTCTACATTGTTTAAGTATAAATCCGATTTAACACTTCTTGTTCTTGGTTACGTGTAATATTGATAGTTTATGACTTACTTTTGAAGTTGAGTCAATTGTATAAGTATAACACAAGCAAACGTATTATTAATCCATTTTGCCCGAATGTTTCAAACTAAATAATACAACGCATTGTTTAATATTCTAGGTAAACTTGTAAAGTTATCGTTAGAATGCCGCAAATATCCCTCAACATATTTTATTCACAAAGTTACCAGCATTTAATGTTTCCAAACTACTGGCCAAGGTTTCTTTCACTAACCCCTTTAGAACGTCGGCGCAAAGTTTGTACGCCTGCAAAAAATGGCACTGAATGTAGACGGTGGCAGATAGGCACGTAAAACAAAGCTACGGGTGGATTTGGAGAGATCATTCTAGAATTGCTATTTACTTAAACGTGACCCTTATGTCTATTGTAAAGGCAGCAGAGTCTAACAGAATTGATTGAAATGTTCTAAACTCTCGCCAGTGGGATAGTCAAAATTGCTATAGAATTAAAAAAAATTGTTACTACGGCTACAAAAAGGAAGAAAATTTAGTTGAACCACTCTTATTGTACACAACTTTTTGCTTTCGAACAAACTCACATCATAAGCGGAAATATTAATGTATGTTGGGTAGTTGGAATTTGGTTTTTTAGCGCATTTTTGAAAAAAAAATACGCCATTATATTTGTTATGGCTGGCTGGCTGGCTGTTCGGCTGAGATCTCGGCAATTATAATAGCTAGAGACTTCAAATTTTCACTGAAAGCTTTCAGCTATAGTGTAGATGTGCAGGATCTGGTCTATTTTGAGTTAGATTACTTCTGAGATCGATAATTTTAAACTTTACTAATAAAATGCTGATCTGTTTTACCAATTCATCATGCATATGCTGATTTATAACTTGTTTATTATTGTGCACTAACAACTAACAACTCGAGCTATTTCTTCGAGAATTTGAACACGGTCGATGTAAATACAAGCTTCATTATCTTGAAAATGTCCATGCAACGAAAGACGATTGTATCACTCCAAAGCTCTCTCGTTTTCAATTTTTCATGGAGGGAGTCTTTTTCAAGGGAGGGTCATACTTTGCTTAACCTGACGAAAATTTCAGCGATAACTGTACACTACTTTAATTTTTTGAATTGTGTAAAGTATTGAAAGTGCAGTTTGATTTAGTAGTGTCAATCGACCTTATATTTTGGTTGCTTCCATTACCTTTATCCTTTTATGAAAGTGGATAGAAGGTCTGAGATTCCACGAATGAAGATGTGATGTTGCATAGTGGGGGGGAGGGTGTCGGATGTCTTGAAAAAGTGATGGTAAAAGGTTCCTCTTCACAAATTTCTTATATAACATGGGTAAGTGAAAACATCTTGGCAATAGAGATATGCGTAATCAATTTTGGAAATTACAAGTAGTAGGGTATACAAATTTGTACTTAAATGGGAGTAAAATTCTAATAACAACAATAAAAATCTAACGAATTTAAAATTAACCTTCCTCAGTTGAAACACACTTAAAATAGAAAACTTAATTTGCTAATTGAAAACTTTACACATTACCGTAATATCCTGCGATATTTTAAATACGAAAGTCACAATACCTTTTCATCAGTATTAGTTAGAAGTGTTGTCGGCCTCTAGAATTTCCTCCGTAGTGGAAAATTCTCCCAGGTTAAGATGGTATGTGTTTCTTTCTACGGGAAATGTGATATGTTACCAGCTTTTATACACCCAATGCTCTAAAAAGTATGTCGTTCCTTTGCCGCTAATTAAAGCAACCTTATTGTGAGTTATTTAACACAGGTCCACTGTTTGTAATCCTCTTATTAATTTTAGGAGCCCTTGAATTATTTATTAAATGTTTTCGTCGATTTGATAGATATTGGGGATGCAATAAAAATTTGAAACGGATCTTCGGGAGGGATTTTCCTTCATTTACAAAACCTAATACCAAATCTTTGCTTGCTGCCAAATTACTACCCCACGTAGATGCTTAGCTAGCTAGTAAGCAAAAAAAATTGCATCATCGCTTGAAATAAGAGTAACAAGTTAAAAAGTAATCGTAAACGATTTACATAAAGCGCATTTCCACTTGCATTCATTTCCCATTTGTAAGATGCAACTTCTGTTAAAATCGTAAAAATCCGGCCACAAATATGAAAGATAGCGTTGCACATGGGCAATCCATTTTTGACGTGCTACTTCAATTTCAGTTTATGAGAAGAATTTCATTTCAATGCTTTTCTAAATAAGAAAGTTGGAACTGCGCATGCGCAAACCTAAATTTTAAAACTAATGTTAGATTTTCCTTTGTTCCAAGCGCCTAAGTATCAAATTTCACTTAAATAGTTTCATAGATAAAAAAGTTGGCACTGCGCATGCGCAAAATAAAATTTTCAAACTGGCGCTAGATTTTCCTTTATTCCAAGTGCCTATGTATCACATTTCATTTAAATTCTTCCACAAATAAAAAAGTTGGCACTGCGCATGCGCAAAACCAAATTTTGAAATTGGCGTTTGATTTTCCTTTATCCCAAGTGCCTATGTATCAAATTTCGTTTAAATCCTTCCATAAATAAAAAAGTTGGCACTGCGCATGCGCAAAACCAAATTTTGAAATTGGCGTTTGATTTTCCTTTATTCAAAGTGCCTATGTATCAAATTTCATTCAAATACTTTTATAAGTAAAAAAGTTTGCAATTCGGTTTATAAATGGTCGAGATGCGAAAAGGGCACTGTGCATTTTGAATCGATTCAATTCAACTTTTGGCATTGCGTATTATATGGCTAAAGCTATGCCCATATTGAATTTCATGCAATTCAGTTCATAATTAACGGAGATGTAAAAGCGATCGAACATTTCTAAACAAAGTTATCGTTCACACGAACAGATAGATGGACAGACAGACAAAGGAACAGACGGACAGACCAACAGGCAGACGACAGATAGCA